AAAAATACAATAAAAATCTCTACGGAGTTCACGGTCACAAAAATATGTTTACAAGAGAAATAAATAACCTCATAGCAAAACTTTTGAATCTTGTGCCATCGATAGKTCAATTTATGTTTCCGCATTCCGCTATAAATGTAATTTCGAACAAATTTGTTTACAACATTTATGTACAAACTTTCACGTTATTTGTTCTTTCTTTCCTCTTTGGGATGTAAATTCAATTTCTAAATTCAATGCATTTCTCGGGTTAACATCAAATTGCATGCTAAAATAATGATACCCTTATAAATTCATACTGCAGCCGAGTATACACGTAGATGCGTGGGATAAACTTGAAAATACTTTTTATTTTTGTTCAGTTTTTGTAGATTTTAGTTTTTTCATTTCATGGCTATATAGACTACACGATTATTAAGTGGAAAAWAATAATAAAAAAATAAATAGTTTCCTTCGTAATATTATATCCATTCATGCGCGTGTATTATACACGAAAGCATATACGTATATAATATATTACGCACAGCGTGCTTTGATTAAAATACAACGAATAAACTTTTTAATTCAGTTATCGTGTGTCGCGAATAGTTTTGAAATTGTACATTTGTATATTTTATATTTGTGAACATTAAATCATATTGTTTAACATTTTTGATGCAAAAATGTAGTGTTTAAGTGATATTTTCAGTCGTGGAGATGAGATATGACATAAAATATAATCTAGCCGCTCGTGGAAACGATACAAATCCTATATTCCTATATCTAACTGAGAAGAAGGCTCWTCGTTTAAGCTAATTTATTTTTATGGTAATACAATAATTAACATATTATACATATAATATATATAAAAATTTATTTTCGGGGGGAGGAAAACTTCCCTATTTTCCCACCCATCACCCATTCTTTCATCAGATATTTAGTCCATTTTATAATGTTCAGCGTATAACCATATATATAAATGTTACTAGATTGCAGGACGATAAAAAGGCGTACAATGTGCCTATTTTTGTTTATATTAATTAATAATTATATACAAATGCTGCAGTAGCGACGATATTAATTTTGTAGGAAAATGTTTCTACGTTTTTAATAATAATTAAACTTGATTAAATTAAATAATGAACGGTTTGATGTATCTAAATTTTTTTTCTCAAAACAATATTCAAGTAGGCGACTCGAGGTGTGTACGCATTATTATGTCGTGTGAAATGATTTTATCAATAATAGTCGATGATCTTGTATAGGTGAATAAGTAAGCATAATAAGGTTATAGGTTGTACACACGTATAAAAAATATAGTAATATAACCTAACCGTTGGAGACGTTGTATAGTATAATACGTGATAAGTTTCACAGTGTCCTGATGATTTATTTAATGATAGTAATAATTCACATCTACCGCAGGGTTTTACAATACATAATACATAGTACCTATATTATACCAATATAATAGAACATTATTTTGTAACAATAATACATCTCTGAATCGACAGCATATTATATACATTTATACTATACATACTCTCTAGTCTCTATGTACATACAGGTTAGGTATACATATGTATGTAGAAGCTTTTAGCTCGTAAAAAAAGTTTAGCCATATACGTTAACATAATATGCGCGTATGTGCCATGTACCTAAGTATATATCTATCACACCGACGTTACACGCCGCCATTTGATACAATAGTGTAATTTTTTTATTTATCTTTTTTTTTTAGTGGGAACTAGTTTACGAGTTTAGTTCGATTGTTAGAACGAATATAAAGTATTTTGAGGGAGAGGGTGGCACGGCGCGAGGGGAATGTCGAAGCTCTATAAAAGTGCACTTAACCCTCATAAATCCCGTCATAACCCGAGACTTCTGTCAAGACGTCTAGTAATAAAATTTCGGAATCTCTGATAAATGTTCGGTATGAACGGAAACCTTTTGTACTGATTGCTGAATCACTATTATATGCACAGATAGCAATTATTCAACCGGCGAAGTTAAGCGCAGCTAGAGATTATTATTTATTTGAATATTATACATCAACTTTTTGAATAGATGTTTTTTCATAATACTCAAATCACGAACAAATAAAATGTGTAACATTGTAACATATATATAAATTAAATTATTCTTTTGAGAGAAAATGAAAAACGTAATACAATATATAAAGTATACCATGCCTCATATACATATATCTACAATATTAGGCATATATACCTACTTGTATTATAAATCAGAAATAGAGCGTAAATCTATCATCCCCAATGCTGAAAATGGAAAATAATAATTCTAAGTATCGAAAAGACGATTCTTATATTATTATAATATTTATTCTGTAGTATAATAATATTGTACCGCGCGTACCACCAAAAATGCGGTATACTTGTGTGTACAAATAATAATATTATACAGCATACTTATTATATGCATTATGCAATATGCATATATAGTATATATAATAATATATATTACTATTTACTAGATTAATGAATATTAGTTCGAACTTGGAACTAATAAATTAAGACCTGCAGAGACGTCCAAAAAGTTGAAATTAATGATTCTCGACAAAAGTTTATGTGTGGGTATAGTTTATCAAAATTATAAGATCTGGCTGGGACAGACGATGTGTAAAAATATCACGACGGATAGGTACCTCCCACGTTTGGGTTTATGCTGCAAAGGTTACYGATAATTTCATTTTAAACAAAATTTTTAACATGATAAATATACAATCTGCACACATAATAATATATAAATAATAAAATAACTAATGAGTGTATGATGAAATGCAAAATATTGATTCAAGACAAAAGAGCGAGAAAGACCCAACCCAGTACAGAAAAAACAACTATAAAAGTGTGTATTAAATTGTTTTGCAACGAATAAAATTAAAAAATATCTTAGATTGTGAACATTCAACGATAATAGTTGAAACTGTTTTTTTTTTATTTCCTCTCAATGATAGGTATTGTAATATTAAAACTATTTCTCACGTTTAGATTATTAAAATAATAAATGCGTAAATTATTTCCATATCATTACTATAAACATGTTATATTTTATAGTTATACGAACCTATATTCATAGTTTTATTGGATTTTGAATATTTTACTAAAGTTTCTTCAAATATATTTTAGAAAAATAACTGATTGGAAATAAATTAGAAAGATCAAAATAATAATACAATATATATAAGTGATTATTTCTAAGAAGTGTGAAGTTACTTTAGTTTGTTTGATATTTTTTGTAATAATAATAATTATTACCTATTGCAAATATTCGTCTCCATATATTATACAAATTACACGAGAAATAATAAAATAACTGGAAATAAATACGTATTTACGTTAGGTTTATTTTAAAATAACAATACATAGGTAAGTTATACTTAAAATATTATGAATATCTAATTATATATTGCTGAAAATATTTATAATTGCTTCAAAACACCACTTTAAAATTCCCGGTTAAAGATCAATAAYTGCTTTTCGTCAAAATTYCAACTGCTGCGGTTAGATTATCAATTCTCGTAAATGTCTTTAATAACGTATAATATTTTTCCATAATCAAATTATTTGTTCGCCAAGTTGGTTCATCCACCGACACAATATATAATGAATATCTATACAGTATGCATGCACAACTATTAACTACCTATTGATCAGCGTTTAGTATACGATAAAATACGTAACACAAGTATTAATAATCACCAACGTTTACTTAATACTTAAGAGGTATCTATTATATTTAAGCTGTGCACGAAAATCACAATATTTAAAATTTGAAATAATTGTAACGCTTCATAATCATTTTTTCAGTATCGCGCACGGACGATAATATTTTCGGTTTTTTTTCACYGGCAGTTTTCGGAATAGTGCAAAACGCATCATTGACACTTTGTTTTTAAATCATTTTCTTCGCTGATTATTACCACCATCTGAAGTACGCAACATTACAATATTTAATATAATATTATAATCATGTGATAATATATACGTTCCTCTCTGGTRATCGGGGGTATTCGAGGCAGTTTTAATTGGTGGAGAAAAAAATCCTCTTATCTAACGACTTAAGTACTGCAATATGATCATCTAAAAATCCCAAGACGTTACATTGTACCCTATCTAAATTATTGCGATTGATTATCATGACATTTTATTAGGTATATTATCATATAATTTGAAGGAATCAAATAGTTGTATAATATGATASACAATATTGCACGAATAAGTCACATTTTTTGTCAACTCGATTTTTTAATTTGAAATGTCTACTCGTGATTTTCAAAGGGTAAAATTGCAAATAAATATAAATAAATATAAAAAGTTGCACTTTTAGGGAGGGTGCTGGTCATTTGAGGGGTGGTGGTCCGAGTACCGACCAGCCCGGCGGACAGATAGGGTTCCATGTGCTATATTATTATAWTATTATAATATAATATCGACTCGTGTGCCGTTTTGGTTGCATACTCATTAAGGCGGCGTTGGTGGCGGGACGGGCGACGGCGAATACGGAGGGTCTGGCGCACGCGCTCGCTCGCCCGTGCGCGTTTCCTGTGCGAACGCATCCGCCGCCGTCGCGCGCGCGCGCACCACAYGACGACACGCACACTGATGCGGGCAAGCACGCACACGATGRCAAAAATACGCGGTCACACACGCACACACACGCTCCCCACGCTGACGGCGGCGGCGGCGGTGAAGCCCCTCCACCACCGCCTCCGTTCCTCATCACCCCGCGGTCATAGCGCGCGGCAACCAGCGGCGGCGGCGGCGGCGACGGTCCCAGTCACTCGCCGCACCGTTCAGTCGAACATATCCGTTTAGCGCGAACGCTCGGGAGTATACCGTGTGCGCCAAAAAAGCACACCTCCCACCAGTAGTGGTTAGTCGTAGTTTGCAGGAACAAAAAATAAATAAATAAATAAATATATATATATATATATATATATAATATTATATACGTGTATATATTATATACATATATATATAATTATAATTATTATATATATATTATACACAGCAACAACAACAACCACCCAAAATCACGTAATAATATATATATATATATATATCACCTTTAATAATCGCCGTGTTATCAAAAAAGAATTGACGTTTTTTTAATAAATAATCGAGTGTACAGCATTACGAGACGCCGGTCGTGTCAATCGCCGACGACACCACCGCTGCCGCAACCGCCACCGCCGTCACCGCTGCCGGGTTAACCACCACCGAAACGGACACCACGTGAACAACAAATTCGTATTAAATTTCGTGTTAAATAATATATATATATATATAAATATAAAATTGTGTGTGCGCGTGCTTATATCATTTCTCTGTCTCTGTCTCTCTGTTTCCGATTCTCGGCGTGTGTGTCTCTCTCGCTGTATTCATTATACGCGGGTGTCACTCTCGGGCAGAAGAGTCTTTCGTGCCGGTCGAGTCGTTCAAATTCACAACGAAAATAAGTTATTGATACAAATTGTTTATAATTTTTTTTTCGTTTGAAATCAATCCGTTTGCTATCCGCCGGTCGTTTCGCGCCATTCGCTTTCACTGTCGCCCGACCGATTAAAATCGAAACGCACGTGAACTGTGCAGCAGCAGTGAGCGTATATCTACTGCAAATCGTCCGAAGCTCGTCCGCGGCATATCATAATAATATCAACCGGCTGGTTCGCGTGCATTACACACCCGCCAACGACACACTTATCGCGCTTCACCCTTTCGTTCGGTCGTCACCAAAAGCTATCACACACACACACATACACACACCAGCGCGCACGCGTGAGTTATCATTGTTATCGCATAATATCGTCACGATATGGAATCGCAGAGCGCACAGGACGCAGTGACCGTGGCCGCGGAGGTGCCCAACGACCCTGGGTAAGTCTAGAGTTGTCATGATAAGTTACAATGTTATTATATGGATGTGTAAATGTAAACARTAGTATAGAAAGTACCGTAAGACGTATAGTATCATAAATAGTAGTACCTAGCCGTCGCCGGGTGGCGGGATCGGCGTCACGCGACACAACCAAATATATATATAYAYATATATRTATATACATGTGCATATTATATATATATATATCATACACATGCGTAGGTGCTGTACCTGCGCGCGCGCACCCCTAATCCTTCTCTGCACTTTTTCCACGGACCTCCACGACGAATCACTCCCCTCCCCGTTCACACCCCCATACACCTGCAGGGTCACCGACGGGGTAACCGCCGCTGCGGTCGACGGCGGGCTTTCCGATTTCTTTGGAAATCCGTTTAAATACGTATACGCCGCGGCGTGCGCCACCAATCCTCTACGACGCCGACCCGCCACCTAACCATGGCACCCTCCTCGCCACCCGGCACAGCCCCCGCACGTACACCCGGCGATACTCGGCCTGCCGCCGCCGCCGCCACCTTCGCCACCGTTTACCCAGTTCTCCGGGTGCAGGTGGAGCGGGCGGTGACTCGCGTCTGTCGGGCGCGAGGGTATTGCACCGCCGCCGAGACAGTGCGTATACATATATAATATTCTCGTTACTCGATGAAGTGAGTCAMAATATACAAATGTGTTATCATTTTAATTTTTTTTTTCTGGGTGTTTTCGTTCTCCCTTTTTAGCGTTGCCAGAACATGACGGCGAAGAAAAATAAATAATAATAAACGGAAAAATGAAACGGAGCCCTGTCCAACTATGTTCGGGGGGTGTATCGATTTGCGGTCTGGTCGAAAGTATACACGAGTCGTCTCGCGCATAATTTAGAAATATCAAATAAAACTATACGATGACCGTGACCCGTGTATCACACACATCCACATCCGCACGCACGCTGTTTCGTAGTAATAATGAGCCTAATGGCGGAATGTATGTACGATATAATATGACGTGTATATATAGGTGACCATATTATTATGATGTATTATTTGCGTTGCAGAATGCGTCTTTGGTGTGATGATAATAACAATCATTATAATACCGTTTGAGAAATATTGCGAGGAAATTAACAACAATATGAGATCCTTAACGCGATAAAACTGGACAAAATACTTGACGTGCACACGTTTATATTTTTTTGCTCACTTCTTTCACATTTCCTACACGTTTTATTATGTATCGATATTCGCTGGCGTTTCGTTAGTTGTTTTCCTTTATACAGCGGACGGAATGAAGAAAAYCCGATGATAATATTTCGATATACTAATATAACTGCCGAGTATTACGGCAAAAATGATAAAACGTATTGTAGGTACGCTTATTAAGGAGATCGAACATAAAATAATCCGACGATAAACGAATACACTAACTGTTATTGCAATTTGCAGTTGTCATATATCATATCATTGATTATTGGTGCGATCTTGCTAACGGCGTTATAGTTTCGTATAAGACATTTTAATGAACGTTTCTTCGCCGATCTAAACCTTCGTTATAACTATTATATACTAAACGTCTATATTACAACTGCCGAGCTGGAAAAGATACGTCGATGCACAATTCAAATTGGATACAAACACCGTGACGTTTTTAATCATGGTATTTGTTTGTTTGTACATTACCGTCGTCGTTTACGTAACCGAGAAAACTACAACATGATATAATGTATTATATTATATTGTTAATTGTTATACCATCCGTACTTGTATATTATTGTTAAGTGCACGAAAGTCAAGCAKGCTATGATTTTCTTTTTATTGGTATAGAAGTCGTCGTATTTCGAAACCGACTTCTCGGTGCATAGAATGCATTATAATATATATCATATTGAGTATTGGCCTTTGCAAATAAAAACAATGTTTGTCTTTCTAATTGGTACAAGGTAGGTACAACGCGTGGGGGTATGTTCTATACCTACATACGAGCGGAAATACCGAAAAATATGCATTATTACTTTTAGTTTTTTTCGTTAACGATTTAAAAATAAAGCGAATTGTAAATTGTAATGCTGCCAACGGTAACGAACCGTTTGTTTGGAATCTCAAAAAAAAAAAAAAAATTGTCAGAATAACGAAGGGATTTTTGTTTACCCCACGTGTAGTCTTCAGGATAATAGTATTCATACATTATGTATATTCTTTAACATAGTAGCTACTTAAATACAATATTGTACCTACGTATATGATGACGAACAGACAATGCACACTGCAGCGTAATCAACCTTTAAGATAACATTAAATTTAAATTTGTATCCTCCTGTAATTTTTGGGTCTCTGATTTAAAGGGGGTAGGTTAAATATATGTACAACACTAGTTAAGCCGACATCTCGCTGATAACTGGTCCATCGGCTTTTAAAATAAATAGACGAGGRAAAAATGAGAGAATGCCTTGTCCTCCCAATTTCGCCACTGAATGCCACTGCCTTAAGCTCGAAGCCGGACTCGCAAAAACGTGACTGCGAGGACACGTACTAATTGGATAGACAACATGACGTTCTTTCCGGTTTCTGACAATTATACCCGCGTATTATGTGAAACAAACGTATACGGTATAGTATATAGTTTATACTAGGTACATCAGTTGTATATTTTTAATATAACGGAAAGAACTATATGGTTCATGTTAGGACTATATGGAGAATGGATCTGTGTTAGCATCGTGTGTGTTATACACTTGCAATGTAAATATTTGAATAATTAATTGAAGATATTAATAATAGATTTTAATATATTCTGGCCTGGCCGCTCGTGTTCGATACATCGTGAAATCGACTGCAAACGACAACCCTGCATTGTACTCGTCGCGTGCGATGCACCACAGATAGGGTCGTAAATAAGTATTTCAACGTGTTTTTTTTTACAAACAAGGGTTCATTGTTGGGCATTTCGTTTTATCAATAGCCGTGTGTATCCAACGACCATTTTATAAATATACTATACCGTAGTGCCTTATTTTATACCTATGTCTATATGCATATTTACAACTAGGTATGCGAAGACGTTAATTTAGTGAAACCATATTACTGTATAACGAATAGATAAATATTATAATACGCATAAAACATGTGCGATTRGATCATATACGACGATAGGTTGTTCTCCTTTCGTCAAAAAAACCGTATCGACGAACTATGACGGCATGCCAGGAGACTGGTAAGTGTGCGTGTGTTTGTGTAAGCGCCCACGTGAAATTTTGCGTCATAAAAATATAAAATAATCATGATGACCAAACCGTTTAAATGTGGAACAAAACAGCGTCCAACCGACAACGATTTCCGAAAAATTCTCGTAGGTAAATTGCAAATGCTGTTGAATTAAAAAGAAGAAAAAAGGAACTATGGACCATCGTGAATTACTTGATTAAACTATGAAATGTATATAATGCATGCGGCATGCTAAACGATTGGAGTATAAAAATAAAATAAATACATTTCCTCCGAAGTTCCTGTCAGATTTATTGGAGGATTTAAAATAACGACTTTTGATAGCAGTTAAAAGTTGAAACTTACCGAATTTATAAAAATACTTTGCTGGATATCGAAATTTTTACGTTGTTATAATATATGATGAATTTCGCATACCATGTATTTGAATATAGCACGTGTTTTACCAATCTACACATTATAATATTATACAATATATTGTGAAACAAGAATAGAGCTGATACACGAATATGCAGTATGCACGCACGGTTATTTGGTACGTTTAAAAAAAAAAATTTATTTGTGAGCCTTTAATTGACTAAAAAATACATTATAATCGTTAGGATGTTATAGCTATTAAGATAAATATTCATCATTATATTAACTTTTAACCCGTAGAATAATATACGTTGTTTTTATATATCTAGTCTTTTTTCTGTTAAATAAAATCCAAATTAATTCACGAGTTAGGTATATAACTATTTGAATTTTTGATATTTATTTCCAATAAGATAAAAAAACTCAATATTTAATTTTGATTAAAAAAAAAAATTATACGAAGTACACACTCGTTTTTCATTTATCTTTGACCATATAACAATTATTTCAACATTGTAGGTACCTACATTTTTACAATTATTAGCCAACATGATATATCTATGTATCCATGTATCCATGCATCATGTTTTTGATTGAACCACAGTTATATACAATAATTATTACTGTTATATAATATTATATATTATTATAATTATTATTATTATTGTTATTGTATATATATCTGTGGATTAGACATATTATTATTTAGTATCCGTTTATCCGACTATTGATATGCAAACTATCCAAATTAATATTACTTTTTACACGATTTTTGGGGATTGTCGGATGCTATAATTATTACCTACGTTTTGTTATTTATTATTTAAAAGTTGTGATGCAATTTTTTTTACAAAACTATTTTATTTCAATAATAATTAATATTGTATAATTTAGTTGATTATTTTATACTTATCAATTTAATTAAAAAGTTATAATTAAATTTCTTCGGAGCTTTATAAAGTTAATTCATAATTTAAATATTTATATTCACGAATTTATTATTGATGATTACGATTTATATGAATTTAACACATTTGAATAAAAATAATAAAAACAAATTAAAAGTTAAATCGCATTCATCAATGAAATCTTAAAATTGAATTTAATGTCTWATTTAGAATAACATACAGTATTGTATAATATCATTTACGTCGTTAAAGCGATTACGGACCAGATTGGGTATATGCATGAAAATGGAACAACAGTCGGCTAATATATTTCTGAATAATATTATTATATTAATTAAAGAAATATTTAATCTTTGAATCAATGAGTTCTCTAGTTCTGCGTATGATAACAATATAAGAAATTACGGCGAGGAGAAAAATAGAACACGCGCAAACCTTTCTGTTTGAAAATCCGTTATCGTAAGTCATAATAATAATATTAATTATTATAATACTATTATTATTATATTATTATGTATT